CAGGGCTAAACGCAGTGTCAGTTACATGGGAGACATAGCAGTGGATGACATTTCCTTTCAAGATTGTGCCCCCCTCCTCGGCCCAGACAGGAATTGCACTGCTCAAGAATTCACATGCGCTAACAAGCACTGCATCGCACAGGACAAGCTGTGTGACTTTGTGAATGACTGCGCTGATAATTCAGATGAGACTACCTTCATTTGCAGTAAGTAAAAGTGTTCTGTTTCCTTACTTTTGCCTTTATCTCCCACAACCTTACTCAATGAGGTGCATTAATTGCTGAAACATACAGAGTATGTATGTAGCTCAGCAGCTGAGGCCGAGTTATATGACTATTTAAATACATTACTTTTTCCTTCTCAATACTTAATTTATAACCAGAATTCACTTAAAACTAGATGATGGATTGGGGTGTGTGTGTGTGTGTGTGTGTGAAGTAATTGGAGATACATTGGAAAACGCAGAATGGAAGCAAGTATTTTCCATGTAAATGAAAGTTTTGGAAAAAAGACAAGTAAAACATCCATCGAAACCAATTCATGAAGGATTCACAAGCCTCTATGCTTTGATGCATTTCAGAGAGTTGTCATTCCTTCGTCTGAATTATGAGATGTGGTCAGTTGTTTAAAAACCAAACATCAATATCCAGACATTACATAAAAGAGACAAAGTGATCTCCTAAAGGAGGTATATCTCAGCTATGTAATATGGTTGTAGGAGATTGACTCATAATGAACAGCACCTATTAAAATATCCTTAGCTAAATGGGCCATATGTGCTCATTCAGGTAAATCTGTAAAATTGTGCAATATAGTCCAGTTGTTGCCTCATTTTAATGCATAGGAGGTGAACAGAAATCGTCAAAACGAAGGCTGACAAAGTAATCCACTCTGCTAGTAGTAATTTCTGTGCTACAGTATTACAGTTTGCTCCTTTTTATATCTTGAAACCAAACCTGGACTATCCAGAACAACTTCCGTGTAAGAAGAGCTCACATTTATATAAAACTTTTAACCTTCAAAGCCCTTTTATCTGCGAATCTCCACAGAGGCCCTGAGGGGTAAGTGGGGCAGATACTCTTAGTGCATTCCACAGGCGAAGTCCCGAACAGCAGCGCTTAAGATTTTGTCAAAGTTCATCAAACTGGTATCCACAGAGGTGAGCCTAGAACCCAAGTACTTAAGTTTATGAACCACTCCTTTGCCCAAGCTACCGAACTACGTCTGTGTAACACTGGATCTTAACAAAAAAGTTATAGATGTTCAAATCCTATCTTTATCTTATACCTATCTGTTCCTTCAGTTGTGGACTCTTTCTTACAATATCCATTATTATCATATATGAACCGAGCAAAAATGTTTGGCTAATTTCAAATTCTGTATTAATTAATATTTATCTTTCCCTTATGAATATTTTCTGATGTAGTTATAGTTATTTTCTGCATCAAATGTTTTCACATATTTTTCATTACCATTCTCATGTGAATGTCACACAAGCCTATTAGGTTATCAGTCAAACAGAACAGATACTATGCTTTTGTTGGTAATGTTACTAATGTATCTCTTTTCCAAGATATGATTTAATGCAGTCTTTTCAGTTCTTAAATTATCAAGTAATTTCTGGCTAAAATTTTCTTCAACTCTTTGTGTTTCGGTTCGGACATTGTGAAAATTTCTAGGATTCCTCTGTCTGTGTTTGTAAAAGGGTGCTGATTTACTAGGAGGGTCAGAAATGTATTGACATTTGCTGTCTCGGTAGTTCTTTTGTATGGAAAAAAATGGCAAAAGTTATCAGAAGCCTTTGGCAGGAAGGTTGCACAAGAGGTGCCTTTTTGGTGAACTGAGTGCTGAATCACTTTAAATTTTGTGTGGGCCTGCTTGCATCACTAACGCTGGAGCAAGAAAGCTGGCAGTTCCAGTTATTATGTAGAAGGAAGAAAACCTTTTCAGCTTCCTAGAACAAATAACCAAACTAACAGAAAACTTTCAAGAAACTCTAAAAGTAACCCGCACTTTTATATTGGTTCTCATTACATGATTATGAGTTCTTTTTATATAGCATTTCTTATTTTTATTATGTATTTAAAAATTTTAACTCTATCTCTTTCTATTGGTCTTAAGTGTTATGTTTTAATGAAAATCTGCTCTGACTTCTGAGCGCTGTTATTTAGCCTGTGTATACATAAACTTTGGCGCTATAATTAGACCCAGAAGAACAAGAAGAAAAAAAATTAAAATCACCATAGCAACCGATTTCAGAAGTTTGGCTGACAACCAACCAAGAATTTAGGTTTAAGTTCCATAATCTCTGAGTTTTTTGTTTTTTTGTTTGTTTGTTTGTTTTTAAAAATCTAAGTGAAGACTGAACATTTATCACAATTCTAAGAAAACCTCTTAAATATCATTAGGTATAAAAATGCCACATAGGAACAGCAGAAAGAATTTAAAAACACATCTATTTTTAAAGGCATAGACTACCTCTGATGAAGAAAATAGTCCTTTATAAAGAGAAGTAACTGCTGCTTTAAGTTTCTATATATCAACATAGACCCTGAAAGCAAAATCTAGCAGAAAATTAGAATGTTATTTATTACTGTATAGTATAAATACCATGTCCAAAATATATGACATAGTCAAAGAAGAAAGTGATTTCTGTACCTGAGAACTCTACAGTCTAATTTGAACATACCTTTGTCACTGATGTATAGGCTCCTTTTGTTTATCTATATATGCTAATGAGCATATTTATTACTGATATACAATTAAGAGTATGTCAGGCATACTCAAAGTAATTTAATTCACTGTGATTAGGAAGGATGCTGGATATTCGATCAACATAATTGGTAAGTAGCCTGAACCTCATGGGCAAATGTAATATTATATTACCAACAGCAGATATCCATTCTTCTCAAGCACACACAGAACATTTAGAAAAAAGAAAGTATATCATTAAACATGGAGCAAATTTAAATAATTTCAATGGATTAAAGTAACATAGATTGTCTCTCATTAATTACACTGGAAATCAATTATGAAAGAGAAGTTAGAAAATCACTATTGGTAAGAAAACAGACAGACACAGTTAATAATTAATGCTTCTGCCCCCCCCAAAAAATCACAATAAAATTAGAATACATTTTAAACAAATACTAATGCATAATGTATAAAATCCTGTGGAGGTTAGGTAAGTGAATAGCTAGAGAAAAATTCATAGACTAAATTTTTATATTAGAAACTAGCTAATATGGCAAACCAGTGGCACAGAGCACACATGTAAGATGGAGAGGCTTTGAAAAGACGGATAAAATTTTCAAAACCCTGTCAGGAATGATCAAGAGAAATAAAGAAGACAGAAATATCAAATTAGCTTACACATATTCACTGAGAAGTTATGTGTCAAGCAGTGTTTGTGTAATATGCGTCAGTAAGTGAACACACAGAAGCCCTGTTCCTCATACTCTTGAGTTAAACAGAAAATGTAGTCTCTGCCCCTACACACACACAAATATATATATGTGTAAAGTAAATTATGGCTTTTATTAAAAGGTGACAATTGCTATGAGAAAATATAGAGTAAGCCAATGAAAATCATAACTAGAGAAAGGACGAATAGCAGTATTAAGGATTATAATAAGGATAGGCCTAGATGAAATATGGCCAAGCAAATTCTTTTAATTTTATTAATTTACTTTCCCATTTTATTGAGATATAATAAACATACAGCACTGTATAAGTTTCAGGCACACTGCCTAATGATTTGACTTGCCTATATTGTGAAATAATTACCACATAAGTTTAGTTTGTGGTTTCCATAGATGCTCAACTATAATTTTCCTACACACAGTTAGTTTTCAGAACTTTCTTATTTATTTATTTTTGAGATGACTTATTTACATTCTGACTGCCATCTCTCACTTGTTAGAGCAGAATTCTCTCGTTTTCAAGTAAATATGATTTTGGGGGTAAGAGGGCTATCGTTTGATGCTGTGATATATATGTTACTTTTTACTCACTACAAGATTATATTATATATATTACTTTTCTACCATCTCCAGTTCAGTGCCCCATCTGAAAAGTTTTACCATGTCAGATTTGTGCTCAGTGTGGTAGAAATGAACTTAAAAGTGCAGAGTGCCCTGTGGGATGACCACCGTGCACTAGCCAGAGTACATCATCCTGGGCACTGGAAACTGCTGACCTGGGCAGCTACTTTGTTCTTAGTCAATAATCATATAAAATCTAAACAAATAATAATAATAAAATAAATAAATAAAATCTAAGCAAACATTCTGTAATTAATGCTGAATATCGAATATCTGCCATTGTCCTTCATTTATTCATTTGGTAAACACTGGGCACCTCCAATATAAGGAGCCCTGGAGCAAAAACAAAGAAAAACTGGACCTTATCTGAATAATGGTGGAGCTCCTTGTCTAGTAAATATGGTAGGTACATAAACATTCACATTAAAAATGATTAACCTAAGAACTTATATGTATATATATACATAACCCATGGACACAGACAATAGTGTGGTGAAGGCCTGGGGTGGGGTGGATGCAGGGTAGAGGGTGTCAATGAGAAAAAAAGAGGGACATATATAGTACTTTCAACAATAAAGATAAATTTTAAAAAAATAAAGAAAAAAATGAGAGTTAGATAAATGCAAAGCATTTTTGGAGGGGTGAAGAGGAGATAATTTAGTCATACATTTATACCAGTCCCAGCATGGGCTTTCATAAAAACGGCAACTCACCTTGAAAACTAGTGTTTTTTTCCCGATACATACTTTATTAATAGTGGACTGTAAATAGCTTTTGTTTTCTTTGGCAGTTTACACTAGAAAGTAGGTCAGGTATCATGCTAATAAACCAAGTGCCTGGAAGGACCAGCTGTGCTAAGCTTTGGGATTTCATTATTGCAGACTCTAGCTGAGTGCTTGAGGGCTCAGAAAGTTTCACTGTCTTTCCAACATTACCACACTGGTCAGGAAGCAGTGTTTTAGGTGACATGTGTTAGGATGATATTTTCCAGATTATAAAATCAGGTAGTCATCAAGGAAGACAAAATTATGCATGAGGGGCTTCCCTGGATCAATNCTTTCCAACATTACCACACTGGTCAGGAAGCAGTGTTTTAGGTGACATGTGTTAGGATGATATTTTCCAGATTATAAAATCAGGTAGTCATCAAGGAAGACAAAATT